ACTTTGTCTCAAAAAAAAAAAGATTTCAGGACATTTCAAGTTGTGTGTGTGTGTCGATGTTTGGCATGTATACATACACTTAACAACTGAATCTTAAATGTTCTTTGAATTGATGAGTTTGTTATTCATTTTGCCATCAGTTTTATGTTGGTCCCTGCATATTTGTATTAATATGGTGGATAGTAAGAGTATTACTGAAAGCCATTCCTACTGATACTGTTGGAACAATTTAACTAGACACAGAAGTGACTGCAAATTGTACAAATATTCCCCCACTGAGTCATAATTGTTAGTCCTACACAATGTCCCTTTAGGTGGGGATTCCCATAGACACTCCCATTGTCACCCAACTGAAGGGAAAATGTGGTAGAAGAAGTCCTAGTGGAGCGAGACAGTGATCTCCACAGATTATAGTGTAAATTACCTACTTTTACCAAAAAAAAAAAAAAATCACATGATCATGTGACTCTATTACCAGGGTCTTTCCCAGGGCATTGGAAGGGGCCTATGCAAGCAAGAAGCCCTTGATGCATGAGCTTTATTAGCTCCATGGTAGATCTACATGTGAAGGTTTACTCAACTTAATCTAGGCCTACTTCCCTGAACATGGTGAGAGGTGACAACCTGCTGGTGGCCCTCGCTTGCTCTCAGTGCCTCCTCAGACTCGGGGTCCACTCTGGCCACGCTTGAGGAGCCCTTCAGCCTGCTGCTGCACTGTGGGAGCCCCTCTCTGGGTTGGCTGAGGCTGGAGCCGGCTCCCTCTGCTTGCAGGGAGGTGTGGAGGCAGAGGCACGGGCGGGAACCAGGGCTGCCAGTGGCGCTCGCAGGCCAGCGTGAATTCCGGGTGGACACGGGCTTAGTGGGCCCTGCACTGGGAGCCGCCAGCCCACCAGCCCCCGGCAGTGAGGGGCTTAGCACCCAGGCCAGCAGCTGCGGAGGTTGCACCAGGTCCCCCAGCACTGCCGGCCCGCCCGCACCACCCTCGAATTCTCACCAGACCTCAGCTGCCTGCTGCGGGGGCAGGGCTTGAGACCTGGATCCCACCATGCCCCAGCCCCCCACAGTGGGCTCCTGCATGGCCCGAGCCTCCCCGACGGGCGCCATCCCCTCCTCTGTGGAGCCAGGTGCCATCAACCACCCAAGGGCTGAGGAGTGCAGGCGAACTGCATGGGACTGGTGGGCAGCTCTGCCCCGGTCCTGGTGTGCTATCTGATAGGGGAAGCCAGCTAGGTTCCTGAGTCAGATGGGGACTTGGAGAACTTTTATATCTAGCCTTAGGATTGTAGATGCACCAAACAGCACTCTGTATTTAGCTAATCTGGTGGGGACTTGGAGAACTTTTATGTCTAGCTAAAGGATTGTAGATGCACCAATCAGCACTCTATGTCTAGCTCAAGGTGTGTAAACGCACCAATCAGTGCTCTGTGTCTAGCTAATCTAGCGGGGACTGGGAGAAATTTTACATCTAGCTAGAGGATCGTAAATACACCAATCAGCACTCAGTGTCTAGCTCAGGGATTGTAAACGCACCAATCAGCGCTCTGTCAAAACAGACCAATCAGCTCTCTGTAAAATGGACCAATCAACAGGATGTGGGTGGGGTCAGATAAAGGAATAAAAGCAGGCTGCTGGAGCCAGCAGTAGCAATTGGCTTGGGTTCCCTTTAACACTGTGGGTTTGTTCTTCCGCTCTTTGTGATAAATCTTACCGTTGCTCATTTTTGGGGTCCTTAATTTTACAGCCTTCATGAGCTGTAGCACTCACTGCAAAGGTCTGCAGCTTTGCTGCTGAAGCCAGCGAGACAACAAACCCACTGGGAGGAACGAGCAACTCCAGATGCACTGCCTTTAAGAGCTGTAACACTCACCCCAGCAGTCCGCGGCTTTATTCTTGAAGTCAGCGAGACCAAGAACCCACCAATTCCGGACACAATGGTGGCTGGCTGGGCTTCTTTCACTTGTCACTAAATGTTGAGAAATGACTGGCATTTCAATCCAACTCAGTTGTCCAGTATTTCCTCAACTTAAAAGCCTTGCCAGTTTGGGGTTCCATTCCTGCATATCCCCACCTTCATACAGTACATACAAAAAGCAGGCAAGCTTTGAGGAATGTTTCATAAGAGGAAAGTAGGTTTTGGTCCGGCCTTTCCATCTGCAGTAGAGAGGGCTTCCCTCAGTCGTGTAGCGCTGTTGTCTACATAAATAATTAGAATCACTGCAAGTCAGTATGTCAGCACCATTCTGGTAGCCCCCTCTCTTGCAGTTCCACGAAAGAAATACTGTGCTGGCCAGAAGCAGTAGTCAGCTTGTCTGGCTGCCCTCCCTGGAACAAGGGCCTGGCCTTGAGGCTTTAAGACAGCCTGATCCAGACATGAGTCCTAGTGCTCCTTGGAGCATCTGATGGCTTACATGAGTGGGCTAGAAAGTTGGAACAAGCTATGAAGGAGAGAAACCTAGCCTGGGACTGAGGCTGGTGCAGGTCCAGGGCTAGGTCCAGGCCTGGGGTACTCTACCTGAATCCAGTCCTGGGTGTTGGAGGGGGACTTGAGACATTCTGAGGAGGGTGCTTGAAATTCACACAGGGCACCTGAGGTGTCTGTGCCCATATCTAAGAGCAATACTAGCAATGAGACTTTTTTCTTTGTTTTTTTTTTTGTTGTTGTTTCTTTTTGCTGTTGTTGTTGTAGTAATGACTGTGAAGTGTTCAAAGATAGAACCTGTTGGAAAAGCTGAGCTTACCCTGGAATTGTTCACTGTCATTTTAATTGGCTCCATTTAAATAATTTTCCTGAAGAGTATGATGATTGAACTTTAGTGAGTGTATTTTGTCTCCAGGGATTTTGATTGCTGGCCACCCACCCCTCTGTACTCCCAACCTCATCCCCCTAGTGGGACCTTCTCTACAGTCTCTATATGAACTCCCATTCTCACCTCCTCATTCTAGTGTTCCTGTGTGGCCATCTCTGGATGTTATTTGTAAAAGATTTGAGAGATTGAAAACAAACTTCCATGTCCATTTCTCTGTCTTTGTTTAGGAAACAGGGAGGATGTTGGTGAATTGAAGCCAACAGCAAATGAGTGTGCTCATAACTTTCTTTTGCTAGTTTCCCCTCTGTTGTTAGTTCTCCCTCTTGCTAGTTTCCCCCTCTCTTGCTACTTTCCCCTCTCTTGCTAGTTTTTTCCCTCTTGCTAATTTCCCCCTCTCTTCCTAGTTTATCTTCTCTTGCTAGTTTTCCCCTCTCTTGCTAGTTTTCCCCTCTCTTGCTACTTTACCCTCTCTTGCTAATTTCCCCCTCTGGTTAGTTTCCCTCTCTTGCTAGTTTCCTCCTCTCTTGTTAGTTTCCCCTCTTTTGCTTGTGCTCTGCTTCTCATTGTCTCTGGCTGCTGTCACCTAGGGTATAGCATTTGGCCTTGCATCTGATGGTGGCAGAGCATGTGTACAAAGAATGCTTGAAGGAACTTAGTTTGGAGAATAAAAGATTTAAGGAAGACACGTGAGCTTCAAATATCTGAAGGTTCATCATGTGGAAGAGAAGAAGTCTTATTGTTTGTGACCCCAAGCAGTTAAGTTGGGCCAGTGAGTAGAGGTCAGAGAAAGATTCAATTCCAGGGGAAAGAAAAACCGTTATGGTTGTCAGAAATGGAATTTGCTATGTTGTGGTGACCACTTGGCAAATATTTTAGGGACCTGATTCAGACATTGGTTGGATTTGGAATTCGTTCTTCTGTGGCAAGTTGAAATGAAGTATGAGGAAATCTGTGTAACAGCCCAAGGTTAGTTAACATCCTCACAGACCAAGAACATCCCTTTTCTTCGATTTTACCTTCTCCTAGGTTCAAGTGGACCCCACTTCTGGGAACTGTACTGTGAATCCTTGACTCTTGCATGTGGCATTTCTTCTACCCTTGTATGTTTTATTCCTGTAGCTCTGCTGCCATTCCCTGGCTGGGACCCCCTTTTATCTGCCGACTTGGTTAACTCCTCTCTCATGTGTCTCTCAAAGTCACAGCCTAACCAGGCATGCCTATCTAATCATCACCTTACCTAGGCTCAGCTTGTCTGTATGTGGCTTAAGCCAGGAGTTAGTTTGGGGACTAAGTTGTCATTAAACCCTTTCCAGTACCTGTGGTTCTGTGAATCGATAGCTCTTGCCTTATTTGGTTTGGCTGTGATTGGACAGTGGGTCCCACTGGAGGATGGCTCCTGGAATAATCTCCCCTATCATGCCCCCCTCTGACTTTTCTCTTTCATTCTCTAATTCCCTCACTAACAGAGAAACAATATATTTTAATGAGGCGTTCTGAAATAATTTCTGGTTTTCTTTTTCTGGGTTTTTTTTTTTTTTTTTTTGAGACAGAGTATCACTCTGTTACCTGGGGGCATGATCTCTACTCACTGCAACTTCCGCCTCCCAGGTTCAAGCGATTCTCCTGCCTCAGCCTCCTGAGTAGCTGGGATTACAGGCACTCACTATCATGCCCAGCTAATTTTTGTATTTTTAGTAGAGACGGGTTTTAGCATATTGGCCAGGCTGGTCTCGAACTCCTGACCTCAAATGATCTGCCTACAAGGGCCTCCCAACATACTGGAATTGTAGGTGTGGGCCACCATGCCCAGCCCTTGTTTTCATTACTAGAAAAGAATTAAGCTTTATGGTTTTGCATATTTCAAAACTATTTTACTCTATGGAATCTTCTCTTTTAGTGTGTTTTAGAAACAGAACGATAGAGGAAAGAAAAATATGATGAGACAATCAAGTTTATTCATTCTTCCTCAAATGATCTGGACTTAGTCTTATCTGCCTAGCGAAAAGTTAGGCTGTGTTCCCAACAGTGGGAGTGAAAAAGTAGCAATACCATATACCCACAGCCGAAGTGATTTCAACCCCCACCCTGAGGCCTCACAGGAGCAGACTGGACTCGTCAGCACCTGTCAGTCATGGCCTATGCTCCTTGCTAAGCCTTTTGTCTTCCTGGACCAAGATCCTTAACCTTTGTCACATCACTGATTTGGAGTACCTGCTGGATCACTTGGCAGAAGTGACACCAGCTCTGGAGTACCTCAGTCTGCTGGGCAACGTGGCCTGTCCCAACGAACTGGTCAGCTTGGAAAAGGATGAGGAAGACTACAAGAGATACAGGTGAGTGTCCAGGGATTGGAGCATGGTGGGAAAAGGGAAAAAGAGAAGCTTTAGGGGATGATATTATACTCTGGGGTACATAGTAGATGTTTGGTAAACATCAGTGGGCTTCCCATGACAATGTTAAACTTTTACCTTTTGGTAACCTACAGCCGTTGTCCCTCTTGGTTGAGGTCACAAAAATTAAGAAAGATGAAAAGTTATTGCCTTGTCCACTTTTTTTGTGAAGTGCCAGATATTAAGTATTTTAATACTTAATATTAATTTAATACTTAATATTTAATACTTAATACTTAATATACAAGTTATATGGACTTGTCACAGCTACTCAGCTCTGCTTTCATAATGCAGAAGTAATCATATGTAATTTGTGAACGAATGGGCATGACTTTGTTCCAGTAAAGCTTTATTTACAAAACAGGTAGCAGGCCAGAAATGACCCATGGGCTGTAACTTGCTGACCCCTGCTCTGTGTTGTAAGATCTTTCTGTGGTCTGTCTCAGCATCACCTTGAAGAGAGAGATGACTTCCCAGCAAAATTTAGGGAGCTCATAAACAATCTAAAGATGAAGTCCCACAGACCCATATCTCTCCACCATAGAGCTATGCTGTGGTGCCCACCAGCCATGCGCTTTGATGGGCTCCAAGTAGAAATGCTTTTCATTCTTCTGTCTACTTCTCAACCATCTGCTTTAAAAGCCCTGATCCAAAATCATTTAGAGAGTCTTTTCGGTCTTACCCATTTTACCAAAGTCACTTAATTTTCCTTCTTCATTTAAAATTGTCTGTGTTCTCATTGTGGATTGTTGTTTTGTAAATGCTTTAATGACATTTTCATGGACCTCTTTCTCCATTATGACATAAGCTCTCATTAAACACCCCACCCGAATAACTCTTAAAAATAACTTAATAAATTTTGTATATGTATATATGCATATATATACATCTATGTGTATATGTATATGTATGTGTACACACACATTCATGTACTTGTTCATTCATTCATTCATTCATGGGGCCAAGAAGCTACGTGTGAAGCCAACCATGTAGGCATGTTTTTGTTATTTTTTCTAGAATGAGGGAGGTAGAGAGGGATTGGTCTCAAGTACAGGGCTTATGAGGTTGCAAAAGGAAAAGAAAAGCTAAGAAAAATTTTTTTCTTTTCTTTGTGTACCATTAGCTCTCAAATAATTACTATTTGTTTTTTCTATTGTAACTGGTCGCATTAGCAAAAGCACTAAGACCAAGGTGTATGGGGTCAGATCAGAAGATCTGATGTGGAGTCCAGCTTTGCCAGTGAGACCTTTCAAATGGGAGGACAGTCTACATCAGTATTCCATAATCAAGGATCTGCCTCTGAGTCATCCAAGGTCTTCTGATGCAGTTGGTGGCAATTACAACACAGCAGTCCATAGGTGTTTCTGATGTCCAGTTGGCTTTAGAATTCGGAGACAATCTGCTCCCAACCAGTTCCATTTCTTCCTTTACTGTCTCACACCATTACATAGATTCTATCTTGTGTATTTCTCTCACTTCTTCATGTATTTCCACATCTAGAGAATGACTTCCGGTGGGTGGAGCTGCGTTGTCTTGACTCTTGAAGCCTCATCAATACCTAAAGTAGTGCTGGATGTGAAAAAAGGGCTTGGCACCCTTTTTTTTTTTTTCTGGAGGTGGCTTGAAACCACCTTTCCTTCTCAGGAACTAGGAACTTACAGGGAGATGCAGGGATATTTGGCCATCTCAGATGCCCACTGCCCATTTGGAATCAGAGCCATTTGGATGTTAACAAATGCAGCTAATAAGCAAAGGACTATGATTCAGACTCAATCCAAGTGCTGGTTATGGGTCATGAATCTTTAGGGAGGGCTGGATTCTACAAGTGTGGTCTATCTCATGGGCTAGCCTGGGCACACTCCAAGCCCATCCTCCCCACTCCAGTTCTGTTCCCTTGGAAGGAGTTGAGGGGTGGGGCTAAGGGAGGTGGTTTGTGAGTACACATATGACAAAGTTGCCATGAGAGGCTATATTCTGGAGGTCATACAAAACCAAAATCATAACTCGCAAAATTAACTTAGAAAATTTACATCATCCACAATGATGGCAAGATGCTTGCACTACGAGAGAAACAGGAACTAAGAACAGCACAAGGAACAGTAAATATGTTCCCACGTAGTTACACATTCACTGCACAGCAACTGGTTGAAGAGTGGAATGGTAGGCTGATTCTCTAGCACATTTAAATTTTTTATTCATTTAATATCTTTATTTTTTACTGTTGATTTGATGAGTGCTCACACTTGTATACGGAAGATATAGATATGTGTTTGATATAGCTCCATTCTATGGTCTGTAAGCAGATCCGCTTTGTCCTTCCTCGAGTTTGTGCTCCATTTGCCACTGAGAAATTTTAGGGTTTTGCAATATGACTTTTGACTCTAGAGTTCCTGTGGCATTTGTGTTTATACAAAGCAATGCAGCTGCCTTTTTTTTTCTTTTGGTAAAACATTTTCCTGGCCCTTCATCCACAAAGCATGAGGGTTGCCTTCCTTCTAGCTGTTACCCAGAGCCTAATAGTAGAGCCTCTATGTAAATTTATGTGACATTTTCACTAGAAAATTGCTTAAAAATGAATGATATTTCTACAGTTTACTGTTTTTCACTTTAAGTACATTTTCTGACAATATGTCTTCTATTAATCATTTAAGCAATACTAGGAGCCTTAAAGGACTGTATTCAGAAGCAAGAACCCATGGTTCATTTAGTGCTGTCTGAAAAAATTTCTTATTGATTGGCATCCTCTGTGGTTATGTGATGTAATATTTATAATATGTCACCCAGCCATACATCAAAACAAGTGTGTCTGTTGTTTCATTTCCATGGGAGATGTTGATTTCAAAGAGGTCAGCCCAGTTTTTAGGTCACGTTGTGGCCAACCACTGGACCAGAAATGGGAAGTGACTCGATTTGTGTAGTTATTGGAAATGGCATCACAGAGCTTGAGTTTCTATGGAGTCTTTCCTCCCCTCCTCCTACATTCACCCCTTTCACTTCCTCACTTACCCCCTGTGCACCCAGTTGGATTTTCTTGGCACACATCCCCACCATAAAACAGGCTCATTAAACTTATATGTGAGCATGAACATACTACCAAGTTGTTGAGTAGCACCCTGGCCTCACTGGGGCAGGAGCAGAACCATGCCTGGGGTTTCTCTTTGCCATTCATCATAGTTCATGGCTGAGAAATGTCCACGGCCCTGTTATTATAGGAGCTTAAACCTGTCTGTGATTTTCAGTGTGTACACACCATGCTGCTATTTTGGGATGAATGTTGAATGGAGGTGAATGTGATAATCAGCAGCCTCCAGGATTTGGGCAGGAAGAGAACAGCAGTGCAAGTCTTGGCTGGAGAGACCACCATGCTACTAAGAAACTACTTTGGTGCCCCTTGTGGATTTCAACACTAGCCAAAATAACAAATCAATATGGGAAAGCTGGGTGCCCAGAATGGTCTATTTCTTGCTTCCCTTGCCATCTCTTTTTTTCTTTTTGCTGCAGAAAGAACAATGGACTGAAGGTTAACAGTAGACAAGTCTGGACTTCACCTTTCAGATAAGGGAGTTGATCTCATGGTCTTTTAGCTCTTCCTCTGTCACTGAACCCTCTGTCGTTCATCCCCTCCTGCCACTCCAGTCTCTGGTTGGCCTTGCTTTCCTCCCTCCTCCGTGTAGGCCCTTCTGTATTCCTTACAACTTTCAGTTATTTAAAACGTGACACCCTTTCTTTGTTCCCCTGCACGGAGCAGCCCTGGGGCCTGCCCAGTGTCTGCAGCACTCAGCCAAAGGGAAGGAGGGAGGGACCCTCCGCCGTCTGGTCTCTCTGGGCTGCCACCATTTCCCAGACGAATAGGAGCTGTAAAACTTGTGGCTTACATAACCCAGTGAGCATTCTCCAGCTAATCTACAATCTGGGCTTTGAAGATCACAAGAAAGCAAAGGTCACGACCCAGAGATCAAAGTGACAGAAGCCCACAGAGTAATTGCCGGTTACCCTCTGTAGAGGGCCTTGGTCTGTCCTGTGGGTGTATTGTTTGCACAGAGACTTCAAACATGCTGCCGGTGAACTGTGAGGAAAATCAGCTGGCCTCTGCCAGTTGTCAGGCATTCATGAATGCTGTAGGTGAGCTCACCTCGGCTCATTAGAGTGAGATCATTGTCATCTCTCTGAGCATCTGCAGTTATTCCACTCATAGTGTTTGTTCATCACTTTGTGGTCTTTATTGACTTTCTCACTGTCGTCATTTACTTGGAGGTGTTGGGGGGTGGTTATATAAGGAAATTGGAATAACAAGAAAGGACGACATGGACATATTTATTGTAAGTCAACTTTGAGCCACATAGAGTTCAAGCAAGGTAACATTTGAAGGACATCATTTGGCCCATCCCCTTCACAGCATGGATAGAGAAACTGAGGCTCAGAAAGGCAGCAGAGACTGAACCAAGATCACAGGGCAAGATACACTCAGAGTCTGGCCTCTTTCCCTATGCTATTAGTCCCCAAGCTTTTTGTTACAGAAACTTCCCCTCCTTTTATTTTTCTCCCCAACGCTTTAAAAGCTTTGGTCTCTCAAATAGACTGCACTGAAGCCATTGCTAACTTTATTATTATTATGAAACAGATACATTCAGCAGTTTATCAGGGCTTCTGTTCAGCATGAGGTAACCAGTGCTATTAAATTGAGTTAATGTAATCTAGTCAACAGTGAGGAAGCATGATATTTTGTTGGCAGACTCAACTATCCCGTCAAGCTTTGTGAAAGTTTGAGAATGGCACAGATCACCCATTGCTGCCTTCGGGGTCCCAGGTAGGGCACCAAGTAGCTTGTACCATGTCTTCCTGCCTCCAAAGGATGGAAGCAAGAAGGCAGCAAGAAATAATGCAAAGAAGAAAGACTGCCATAAATGGAAGAAAATTTCCAATGACCCCATGCCCAGTTCCCT